GGCCAAACTTCGCGTTCGTTGCTTTCGATACAGAGCTTGCGAGAACCCTTCGTTATGCAAGCAGTCCACGCCATAAATGAAACAAACCACGGTGAGTGCGCAAAAATTGCACTATCCGACGAAATTATTTTCACTCCTTTTTTGGCATTCAGAGAGCCATTTAGCGGAAATGGACTACAGTTCTGTAATCCACGCACATCCCTCTACATCATGCAAAAAACCGTTTTGAGAAAGCGCGGGTACACCTGAAAGACCTCCCTCGTAAGGCCAAGCTTGCTCAATCCGTCGTTTGGTCGCTGAACCATTGACCAACCTCCAGTATTGTTAATTAAACACGTTTCAAGTCTTTTGGTTAGTGGTTTTAGTGAAATGGTCCAACCCTTTTGTTTGTAATCGCCACGTTCCGTGTTTCAGGTAAGTATGGGTAACCGCAGGGTTCGAATGCGTGCCGGTGTGTTGATGCTTTTATCAACATGGTTGAAAAAGTGCCCATCCGCTGTAGCGATTTTCCTTGAAAACGACGACAATCTTCACTACTTGACAACACAGATCCGTATGTTTGATTTTTTCAGTTACTAGAACTCGTCATGGTCCGCTAGTTTCAGTTGACGACTGTGGTGAAGGGAACGGAAAGTGAACACAAGTTCTCAAAGGTTTGATGGCTTTCCTTTTGCTAGTCTGCCTAGAGAACGTTGAAGATGCTAATCAAAAGTAAGTGCAGTATTTCACAAATTATATATCACTCCTTTTATCACTTTATTGATTTGATGTTCTGTGGCATTTGATGAAAACTCGAAGTTGTGGCATGATCTTTCGAAAACTCATTTGCCTGCTAGTGGGCAGTATACCTGTAAAAATGCAAATAGCGAAATCTTTGCACGAACTCCGACTGACATGGCAGTTCTTCTTGTAGCATATGCTAATTGCCAACTTTTTCGAGATTTACAGCTATTGAAGAGGGTTTTTGTTGCAGCGTCAACCAAAGTACTCAGACTACTAACAAATTTTTATTTGTTAATTCTGACACATCTGCTCCAATTTGCGAAAGTATCAGCTTTTCAGTTTTTTCTTACAATTAGAGCGCTGCTGAATGTGGACACTTTGAAAAAAACTCTTGAGATCATAATGTAAAGCACTGGTGTACAGTCGTTATTACTGGGTCAAACTTCCAGAATGTAATCTTAAATGTGACTGTGACTCTCTTTCCTCTATTTTTCTGGAAACGCCTGGGATAAACTGGCCTTAGTTGCGTTTGAACAATGATGATTTTTGACGGTGCTGTAGACGCAGTTTACAGATGGGATTGCAGGGCTGGTATTCAGGGTGGCGTTGCATGAGCATATTCAGATAGCACTCGTCAGTAATACTGACTAAGTTGTCTTATCATGATGACGCTGTCAAATAATTACTCTTACAGGACATCCCTGGAACAGCTCGTCGATCGACGAGTCGGTCGTGATACAGTGATTGGAGCTAGCGAAGGATTGTCACGAACGGAACAATTTGTTCTTGCTGCTCAAAAACCGCAGCCTCTTACGAAAACGCCAAACGAGCTATTCTTGGACTACCATTTCATCAAGATGTTCAAGTCATCAGAAAGTAAGTACCAGAATTAGTGTAATTGTTCGAATCTGACTTCTCACTATAATTCAAGCTAATTGTATCATTTCATCGGAACTGTCCTTTTCAGGCAACCTAATCAAAATGCTACGACCTTCTGGTGAATTCAACGGGACGGCATCAAATGATAACACTATTCAGTATAACATTATTCAAATGATAACTCGTTTTGAATGCTCAATCGGAAAGAATGCGCCCAGTGATTTTGATATTTTGGTCATGATTACTGTACTTACGGCACAAAAACGTTTGATTTGTGGTATTACGTCTTATAATGTGTTGTAATCCCTCCTTCCTATGCACCATGTTCTACTGTACGATTAAATGTTTCTGTCTGATCATGTTTCCACTTATATTATACGAAAGCTTAATGTGGTAGATGTAACGAACAGAGATGAGTGTAGAGCGACATGCATGTGACTCACTTAGGGAGCAGAGATAATGCTGTTACAGGGGCCGTATGCTGAATGTTGGGTAGACTATGGGGATGAGGGAACGGGAAGTTGGGCTATGGGGATGGGGAAACGCCGTTGGGGAACGGTCGCGCCTTTGATTTTGAGCTTTGTTTCAATTCCTTCATCGCTGTTTGCAGTGCTTGAAAAACGAGCGAATGTACCTTCTAGGAACAGTGAATGGATGGAAACAAAGCTACGAAATCAAAGGTGCGACTGTAGTTGGGTACGATATTTAGCGTGCGTGCCAAGATGTGTATAACGGTTTCCACGAGGATTATAAACTCTGTCCTACGAAAAGTGCTGATGGGCTGCCAAGGTACTAGAGTAAATCACATGCGATGGCTCTGGTATGAGGCTGGACTAGTTGGGATAGCGTGGAAACAATGTCACCCTGACTACTCTTCTCTTCAAGTTTCTTGGTGATGTACCGATACCACGACCGTACGGTTCTCTATAAAGTAGTAAGAGTGGTACCTTCCATAAAAATAACAACGCCCACACGGCAATTGCCACTGTATTAGCCTGAGGCACTAAGCAAGCCTGCTCTGGTCTTTGCCTCCGTACCTGAGTAGGTTATACTCCTCACAGCTCTGACAAAACTGATCAAACACATCACGATTTATTGATTTTAAATCGCTTAACTTAAGTCTCATTAAAGTCGTTGGCCTCTAAATTTTCAGTAATGTTATACATGCTCTCAAGACGTGACATTAGAGGGGTAGGAAGTTCAAATTTGATAAACAACGTTAAGGATCCAATTTCCAACTCTAAGAATCCAATTGGCATTGCAACAACATAATGCATTGAACTGCTACCAGAATCAACTCCAGTATTTCAACTGTTTACACAAAAGGCTAAACAATATCGAACACCTTGCTAACGCGCTTGGCGCAGAAACATCAACATACCGCAGAAAGCACTTTATAAGGGTAATGCATAGATACATGTTAATAAAATGAGACCTGGGAAAAAGTGTAGTACCGTACAATTTGAGGCCTGAGACATGATGAAGCAGCGACTAAAATGAGGCCTGAGGAATGATGAAGCACAGAATAAAACAATGAGGATCGGAACAATAGAAACAATACACTTCGACAATGAGGCGAGACCTGTCATTTTGGGCTTTTCTTGCAGGAACTCTGATCTGAAAATCGAAAAAAATAAAAGATGAAAATTATTGCAACTTTTTCCAGGTATGACTGACGAATTGTGAAATGTGCTGGATGCACTGCGGGACCTGCAACACGTGTTGCGGGGGAACCAGGATAGGATTGAAGAGAGGGAACGCCTAAGGGAGTATGTCCGAAGAGACAACATGTGCCCTTCCTTCACAGTCGCATGAGAACTTTCGACTGAATATCTTGCTCGGAGCACCCTGACAGATTCAAAGAGTACACGAGGCTGACACCGCTGCAATTCATGCAGCTGTATGAGCGCATTGCTCATCGCCTTACTCATTCGTTGACACATGCGCACATGCGTCTCCTATAACCGCTCAACAGCGACTTTTTACTTTCCTTAGGTAATTTATGTTTTCGAACACCGTAACGCTGATAAGGCTCAAAAGATCTCGAGATTAAGGTTTGCTGGACATGGCATCCCCTTCAAGGCACTATGCCAGGAACTTCACTGTGGAAGAACGACAATAGGAGAGATTGTTTCCGGAGGTGGGACGTGCCATATCGCAAGGTGGGGTCGCTTCTCGAACATGTGTACGCAATAACATTTATTCGACGCTCTCTAGAAGCCTCCACACTCCGGCGGCACATATTTCAACTACCAGAGAACACATTCCATCATATTGCTCGCCGTGGTGGACTTTGACAACCTCATAGTGACTTTCGACGTAGGGGCGCCAGGCTCAGTAGGTGATGCTGGGTATTTCCGCGCAGTCCAAAATCAAAGTAAGTGGAATACTATGCATCAGTTAGTGGTCTGCATTGCTCTTTTCCAGCGTTTTTTTTCGAGAGGAACGAGCACGCCTTCCCCCCACGAGACATTTGGGAACTGTCGGGCCGGTGCAGTATCACATATTGATCGACAGCGGCTTTGGGCAAGGTTATCGTTATGTTAGACCGTACTCAGGAGCGGATCCTCTGACGCCCAGCCAAAGGAGATTCAAATAGAAAGCATAGTCGGTGAGTATAGATCTTCCGTCGCTTGGAGTTACTTAACGTCATTTTTCAGCGCCCGTACAAAAGTCGAGGCAACGTTCGGTGTGCTGAGCAGGCGCTTCCTAATCCTCAGTAGGGCTATCGAATTGGAGCCAAATCGCCTGATGGAATTGGTGGCATCGCTGCTGGTGAGGGTCACCTCTCAAAACACCACACTTTTGAAGACAACTCATTTTAGTATCGACTTTTTCAGGTTCTCCACAACTGGATAAGAAGAAGAGAACTGGGAAGAGAGGAACCAGCGAGACCTGCAGCTAATCCCGACGAACCCTGCCTGGAAGTCGCGGCGAGACGAGGACCAGACTTAGCAAGGATTGCAAGGGAACGAATTAGGCGCCACTACGACCGTATGTATGTACAACCCCATGTGACCACATTAACTTAATGTATGTATATTGTTAAATAAATGCTTTTATAATGTTTTAGAATAAATGTTTCTTCTACTAACTTCAATCTGTTCTCAGGATATTCTCCAACATACTCCTCGTGAACCACTCCCTCGTTTCCTTGGCTGCAGTAGGTATAGCTAAACAGCACTTCCAACATTTGCCTCATTTTCACATCTGCCGTATATGCGTCGAATCTCTCCCGCAGATGTTGCGCGACGAAATCTCCTGAAACCATGCATTGTCTATATACGAACAGTCCGAGCAACGCAAATCCTTACCGAATCCTTGAAACGAGTCTACTGTAGGATGCTGTTGATGGCGCGAACGCTGCAGATGTTCGTCGATTCTTTCGATGGTTGCTTGCACCTCTGTCGATGGAATGTTTTGCGATGGTAATATTTCGCATCCATTAATTACACGACTCACCATCCTCATTTCCCTTTCTTTTTTCCCCTACGAGATTTTGAAGGACTGGCGCTGGCGTTCAGTGCACTCGAAGTTGACTGACCTTCTTCAGCCCTCCTCAGCGTCGCCATGAGTTCTATATGAAAAGATTTGAAGACCCCAAATTCTGAAATTCAGATCAATTCAAATGCACCATCCCTGCTTCCTATTCTATTTTTCCCTTTCATTCGTGGTGAGGGGGTGTCAGTTTGCGGCACTTGGGCTGAGACTGGTCCTCCTTCGTGAGTGGCCATCAACTCTACAAAGGATATATATATATGGAGTAGTGATCTCCTCCGTAGTAAATGACCCACCATCACTGTCCCTTCTCCCTCTTTTAGGTGCAGAAGACTGCAACGGGGGAGTGTCGTTTTGACTAGCCACAGAACTCGACTCCAGTTCCAGACTCATCCTATAATTGCCTTCCTCGTCGACATTCGATAGGGTGGGGCTATAATAGAAACGTCATATGATTCCACCCGGAAGACTTCAGTTTTGAAACGCACCCGTCGTGCTGATTCCTTTCAAGAAATCGCATGGCCTGCAAGTACGTCCATTGCGGCCCCGAAGCAGATCCCGTAGTTGGATTGTTTTTCCTTCGATACGTGTCTTTCAATGTTT